TTTAATATCAAAGAAAATACAGAAAACGAAAACTGAACTACAGACATGGCTTGTTCATGCGCAGCAGACGATTCCGGTCTCCCTCCAGAATGGCTGCCGTTTGTTTTGATGACGCAGGCTCTAATGGGTCAATTGGGATTCAGTAAACAATTTCAAGATTATTCAAAGATCTGTTCCAGATTTACTCCTCCTGGTCACGACTGTGATCACCATACTAATGTTAACAAAGCTAAGAACATCAATATTGTGATCACAGCGCCGAAAAAGCAGGTGGATAGTTCTTCTGAGATACACAGAATGTTATCATCACCAATACCCTCCTTCCCCAAGGTTTTAGTACATATTAACATTTAGATATCGGGCATCTCTTGAACGCCTGCATTAGCATGAGTTTGGGCTATATTAAACTGTGAATGACGGCGCTACGGGTATCCGAGAAAACTGCACGAAAACCGGTTGTGTCCTTTTCACGAGGTGAAAGATGAGCTACACTTAAGTTCCATTGCATCAAATATGCATCAGAGATGTTAGGGTTATAAGAACTAACGGGAATACGTATCCCGAATTCCCTGTTGAGAAATAATGAGAAATGCATTGCTACTTGTATGCTACATACTAAGACCACACAAACCTTGCCGAGTGTAAGTCATAAACGTTTTCAATCTCCTAGCAATTGATGCTTCGTTGCTACTTATAGTATGAACAATGACGTACGTTAGATAATTATATTTTACCTTCCATTGTATGTTTTTTTTCTGTCATTCATTGTACTTAATCACTGCAGCTGTGGTTAATTTGATTACAATAAACAATAATTAAAAATAATTATGACATCAGTTCTTCAGTTTAATAAAAAAAAAAATGAAGTAACCAAACCTCGTTTTATACATAGAAACTTTAATGACACTGAAAAGATGACAAGGCGAGACTTCAAAAGTGATTGGATTAATTGCTTAAACTGCTTTTCATCATCAATTCAATGAAAAAATAACAAGATTGCAAAGAGTACTGTTAATGGATAAACAGAGCATCATTTTGATGACTTTCATGTACTCCTTGAAATAATAAAATATTGACCCAAAATGAGTGTGAATAATAACTTTAGAACCCGTGTTCTAGTCCTACATACAGCAGGCTCCAACTTGGATACGTCGCACTGTTTTAGTAAACATGGTGTGTAAACACTGTCAGGTCTTCCAATCTTCCATATTGTGAAGATAAGATTCTCAGTGACTAGCTCCAGGCTCCTTCCAATTTCATGAAAAGAAGCAAATGACATTACCATGTGTCTACTGAGTAGAATGTGGAAATAAAAAAAAGCCTCATCACAAATTGTATTTGTGATGAGAGTCTATGCTATTGGTTGGCCTGTTCACATGCATCGATCCAATCACTGTACACATCAACTGCCTCTGAAAGATCTGACAACAGTTAAGATGCATAACAAATGTCAATTAAAAATCTAAACCAGTGTACCTTTCATGATTATTATTTGGTTAGTTTTATCATGAGATTGATTTATTCTAAAATGTTAAAATCAAAGGCTGTGCTATTTTTAAAATCTCTTTCTTTATTGTCATTTTTTAAAATTATTTTTACCTAGTCAGGAAGTGTAAAAAAAAAAGCATAATAAAAGGATACAATTAATTGTGGTCTGAAAATCTTCAAGACAAACATTGCAAGTTATAACTCCCACATTCCTTGCTCGATCTCTGAAAAAATAAAAAGAAATTTAAATGCAGAATATATATTGACACTGAATAAATTTTTTCTTTGACAGCAAAAAGGAATCTAATTTATCAACAGTTTAAGACTTCTTGCAGCAGGATTGACTATATTCTTATCTTAGCCAAATCCCTTTCACTTATAAGCTAAATGAAATCTATCGGTAAAAGAAATTCTAATCTGGTTAACACATGATTTTTGGTTTGTTTGTTTTCTTTTCATACATTTTATACTACTAACAATGCTAGCGAGAGCCAAACATGAAGTAGCATGTTTTATTGTGCCAATCATCTCTATTAACTGTAAGGTTTTCTTGTACTTACAAATTCACTTCACAGGACTTTTCGTGATTACAAAATGGGCAGTTAAACATGGTATCCAACTTCTCTAATATCTTCCGTTTGGGAGGGGGCTTATTTGCCTTCTTTCTACGTCCCATTTTCTGGTGATCTAGAAATACAAAACTTTTTATAACATTTCATACACAAACTCTAAGCAATTAAGAGATTTAAGTCACAGAAATGAAAGTAAGCTATAATCGCATTCTAAAACAAAGGAATGAAAGTGCTGTTATTTCAGACTCTATAAATGTTTTTGCTTATTAAATTGTGCCTCATTTTGTTAAAAAGTATGGGCACTAATTGACATTCATTGTGAATACCAAAAGTTCAATATACCTGGGTATATATCAAAATGTGTGGCGAATACATTGTTTGCTACTATAGCGCGCCACACATGCATAAACACTGCCATAACCTTAATACGCAGTTGTTACTATAGTACATGTACGTTTCATTTGAACCACATGGCGAGGCTATTTCAAGCACAGACGGGTGGTTTGCTTCAATACAACTATCTCTTTCCTTTGAACAGACCACATTCTGAAAGATACTAATCTTAAGGACCAAGGAGTGTGGTAATAAACATGAGTATCATGACAAATACGGTAAGTAACGTTACCTTATCGTTTGTCTTGTGGTCCCTTTCACGCCGGAAGTTTGAAGAGAATAGAAAATGGCGATTATACAGCTAACCGATTTGGGGAGAAATTTTGACTTAAAAATAAGAACACATGTAAGTGAGAGTTTTAAAAAATTACAGTAACATACAATTTTGAATATTGAACAAACTGATTAGCTATGATATTATATCAATATCACTTTTTTTATTTTTGACTTCAAGATAACCTTTGTATTTTCCGGCCTAATCTTTATTTTGAATGTTTACAATATGTCTTCGTACACGCGGGAGAGGAGGCACTGTTTTGTTTTCACTTTTAATTATGCATGAAAGGTCGCAATCGATTCAACATTTTAGTTGATTTATTTTTTGGTGAGAAGATTCTGAAAAATAATTTGGCGGTATGTTTCCAACTTTTGTATATTTTATTGAAATAAATATATTTTTGCTGATGTAGCTATATTTTACGCTCTTACTAGGCTTACCCGGTTGTTTAGTTTGCCAGCAAAAAATCTGGGCTGCGGGGTCTATTAATGCCTGTTGAATTGTTCACAGTTTGATAAAACTTAAATTCACGAATGACGCGTGTGATTCTAATACGTTATTTATTTGTTTATTTATTTATTTATTTTTGCATGTGAAGTCTATTTGTTTGGTTGCCTCAGTTTTCTGCCCTACAGTAGCTTACATGCACTTACCGCAAGTTAGGCAACGCATTGGTATGTAAGGGCTCATAAAACCTGTGTTACAAACTCCTGAAACTTTAAATAACCACATCCTGGATATACTGTTTGCCCTCCATCGCACCTTGTACAGGTAGAGAACTGTATATCATATGAAAGTTATGTTCATTTTCATCACCAATTTTGACAGTACTGTACATAGCACTTTTAATCCAGTTATCCAGCAGTACTACCATTTCTGCATGTCATCTGTAAGTGACATCACATATAGCCTTGAGATTTGGGCACACAGGGTGTTATGACCCTAACCTAACCAAGACTGAAAACGAAGGCAAATTTTTTCCTTTGATTATTTCAGAAAACATTGTATATTAATAGAAGGTATGGGGCATTGAACATCAAAGATGACTGAAAAAATTATGATTGAGTATGAAAACCAAATGTTTCTTGATCTCTTCCATGAAGATGGACTTCTAGTCACAGGAAGGTATTATAGTTTGGTACAATTAATCACCTTGTATGATAAAATTGCACATGATCTTTTCCTCCTAGCTCGGGCAAATGAAATTAATCTAAAAAGTTAAAAATCTTTTTTAGAAATCAGTTGTCAAGTGACATCAAGGGTGATCAGATCCATGACTTAAATTTCAGTTACAAAATATAAGATCTTAATTTTTTTGTAATTATGTAGTTGATTTGAAGATTTTAACTAACAGAACTAAATGGTTTTATTTTTATTTGCATATTTCAGAGGTCTTGGCATTGACAGGATTTTTATTGATTTTCTGAAGCTGTACTGTGATCCTGGCAACCTGGTGCTAGTTCTTAATGCAGGGGACAAGGAAAAGGTATGAGTAGCCTTTTGTTTATGTTTTGTTCACTGCTGCCCCCTACTTAATACTTTTCAATTTTAAAATCTCAATGTGATTGGATTGGGATTTATTTGTTTTCTTCATTACGATATACTTTTCATAATCTTTGTCTCTTATTTTTCAGGAATACTTTATAGATGAATTAAGAAAACAAGGGACATCTCCACTGCCAAAAATAATCACAACAGAATACAATGCCAATGATAGGTAGTTACTCACTGACCATTGCTTGTGTAATATAATTATTTAATATGATTTAGCTTTAATGCTTGATGAATATCACAAAGAGTTTGACAATGAAGACAGAGTTAACCAGTCTGTTTTTACCTTTTGGTTGTGTGTCTTTAAGCAATATACCTGAAGGTACATCCTGAAGTGCATCTTTAATAAGCAAAAGGCATTGTGATCCTTTGAGAATAAAACCAACTTAACAATTGAATATTTTTATTACACCAGGCACTCCATTTACATGCAGGGAGGGGCTTTATTTGTCACTTCCCGTATTCTTGTTGTGGACATGCTGACAGAACGCCTACCTATAGATTTAGTCACTGGCATTCTGGTATTTAAGGCTCATAAGTAAGTACTATTTATGAATGTTCCAACGTTAAATTGGCCCCAGTTAAGATGCACTTTGTAGAATAGATACGTACATGTGTTTAAATTGGTTAACTGATTTGTTTACTTTGATTGGTGAGCTATAATCACCTGTTTTGTCAGTGCTATGTCTATAAAGTTGAGAAAGATGGGTGTAATGAGGATAAAGAATATATATGTGCCTATCTATTATATGTCTGTTTACACCAAAGTTTAAATAATTCAAAATTTTTTTTTCATTTCAGGATTGTTGAATCTTGCCAAGAAGCCTTCATTATAAGACTATACAGGCAGAAAAATAAAGTAATTTTTATTTATTTCTTTATTTTTTGCAAATTTTTTATGTTGATTTATAATGAAAAAATATAGAATTTCCATACACACCTGAAACAGATGTGGTGTCAGTTTTTAATGGTCTACATTATCTTTTCCAAAAAGAAAAAGCAATTAAAAGTTATACTTAAACAAAATAATTGATTTATTTAATCATTATGTTTTCAATTGATACAATATTAAGATTCATGCAATACAATATTAAGATTCATGCAAAGTAAGAACTTGGAAGCTGAAGTTGCATGTATTCTGTCTGAAAATCTGTCTGAAGTGTACATGTTCTATGATTGGATAATTATTGCATAATTTAGGTTGGGTTTGTGAAAGCATTCTCTGACAGTCCCCAGTCCTTTACAGCAGGGTTTTGTCAGGTGGAAAGGGTGATGAAGAGTTTGTTTGTCAGGAAGCTGTACCTTTGGCCCAGGTTCCATGCCTCAGTGGTCTCTTGTCTTGATGAACACAAGGTAAAGCCCTTTCCACATTGAGTGGCCCATTTCATCAGACTGGTTTACTTTGAGAGACTGACAAATTATAGCCTGATTACTATGTAAGAAAATAACCTAAACGGAGCCCTTATCTTCGACATGGCCAATTCAGTAACTTGACAACAGAAAGTGAATTTGTGATTGTTGGAAACTTGGAAAAGGGATGAAATCCTCCTGTAACATAATTACATGTTAAGACTTCTCAAGTTAAGTATATCTAAGGGATGTGAAAAGGGCTCAAGTATATTCTGTGAATGAACTAAATTTGTGATTCTGGTTTAACTTGGAATTTAGACTTATGAAGCGCCTTAGGTAATATATAATGTCAAGCACTGTAATACTCTCAAAAACTTGATATCGTCATCATCTCATTTTGAACCAGTTTACTTAAACCAAGGAGTTACAACTGTCTGTTGTAACTCCTTGCTTAAACTTATTATGTTGCTATGCTGTATTCATGAAGCTACATATTTCCAGGCTGAGGTTGTTGAGCTCCACCTACAGCTAACTCCAGCAATGCTTGCATGTCAGACAGCTCTTCTGGACCTGATTAATGCTTGCATCAAGGAGCTGAAGAGATATAACCCAACAGTAAGTAGCACGTAGGGGTTTAACAGGAAAAAAATATATACAACATTTATCATTTTCATAGGTCAGATTATGACAAGTACTGAATATCTATAAAGATCAATTACAGGTGAAATTTACTAATACAACAGTAGCATGAAAAATGAAGCAATCATTTCATTACAGAAATTTTTATTGTTGATTTCTATTTGATACTTTTTGACATGCTTTGATATTTTTCCTCAGTTTGATACAGATGAAATAACTGTAGAAAATGCCATCACCAAGTCATTTGACCAAATAATTCGCCTCCACCTGGACCCTATATGGCATCAGCTGGGAGCAAAGACCAGGCAGCTAGTTGCTGATATCAAGACTTTGAGGCTGTTGTTGAAGTAGGTTTCTTTATATCTTTGTAAAAGTATCTTGAGAATCTTGAAATTGTGGACTGTATTAATTTTTGTGTGGGTGTTGGTTCATCTAACATATATTTAATGTGCTTTGTTTATATGCATATGCTTGATCAGTTAAATGTGCATGTACTGTAGTAGGTGGGAAGCAGATAAATGAAACAATCTACACTACTTGTTAATACCATAGCACATATCTTACCATATTGCTTTCATTATACTCAGTTCTGTACTTAAATTTATACATATACATAATTTTTTTTTGTTTTAGACACCTGACACAGTATGACTGCATCACATTTTACAATCTTGTAGATTCTATAAGGTAAGTAGGGAAAAGTAATCACATATTCAGGCTGCAGTATCATAGGATAATGATTTTGAGAAATTCTTTAATTTGGCAGTTGAAAAAAAGGCAAATCATTCTATACATAATAATTATTTGTACAATTATTTGGTTTATTGCATTTAAATGAAAAATAGTCTCTTTTTTTCAGATCAAATGAAATAACATTTGGACAAAATTCTGGATGGCTGTTCCTAGAAGCAGCTGATAATCTTTTCACTGTAAGTCTTAAATAAAAAGAATGTCATGCCATTTTAAGTCAGTACTGGTTTGTAACTATTTTATATTAATTTATATTGTGTATTTTATTTTACAATTATTTAGATAAAGAAAACTATTTCTTTTTAACTTCTAATATTTTGTCTTCATTATTTCAAAGATAATTTTTAATCATGATAATACACTTTTGGAATGTTGAGAAAATTTACTTTTATGCCATTATAGCATGCAAAGGAAAGGGTTTATGGGCCAGCAAAAAAGACAAAGAAAGTAAAATCATCTGAAGAAAATTTGGATCCTGTTAAGTCAGATGCTAAAGGTATATTTGTTAATAGTGTGAACTGTTAATTGGGATGAAATAAAAAATGTTATATAAGAGTCACTTCTGCCCTACATTGTGTATTTTGATTACTTTGAAAGCATTAACTTCAGTAAAGCATGTAACAAGAAATAAAAACATTTTTTCAAACACTAGTCTAGAAATATTGTAAATACTTGTGTCAAACAATATTTAAAGAAAATGTATCTTGTATTTTAGGTCCAGTCCTTGAAGAATGTCCAAAGTGGAAAATTCTTGCTGAGATCCTAAAGGAGATTGAGGAAGAAAATGAGAGTGTGTCCAGTACACTTGGTCCAGGCAGAGTACTGATTGCTGCAGAGGATGACAGGACTTGTAATCAAATAAAACAGGTAGATATGTGTATATTTCATCCTCTTTTCTATTTTGAAGGAGTAAATGGTACAGAAGAAGAAGAAGTGAATATGGAACATATTTTTGTTTCCTCTTTTTGAGCTTTTTAGCGGAACTGATACAGAAATGAGACTTCACTGTTTGGCCTTGGTCAGAGTATACTAATACATTACTTGTTCTTGAAATATATCAATATTGTTTCATTTGAATGCATGCTAAGCTATTGTTTCTATTATTTCAGTATTTGAGTGATGGAGGACATACTTTGCTAAAGAGGTTATTTGATAAATCAGTTGGGAGAAAGACAGGACAGGTAAAAAAAATTGGACATTTGTGCTTAGTGACAAATCATGGAAATGCTTTATAACAGGAAACAATGAAAAGAAGACACATTTGTTGTATTGATTTTAACTTTCATATTTGTTCAATAGAAATGGTAAATTTTAGTTAAAGGTACATATGAACCGAACAGCGGTGAAGCGTGGATTCCCAGTAACACTTATAAGCCACTTCTACTAGTTTCTTATACGACTCAAATAAATTCAACATGCCAAGGGATAAACTGAATAAATTACTCGATCAGCCTTAAAAGAGCTTTTGACAGCTAATTTCTTTAAAATTTTGGTCAGAAATTTAACTCACTTTCGTGACCTACTTTTCTGCCCATTGATATACAGCATAGAATGTTAGCAGAAAAATCCATTCAAATATAATTCTTCGGGTAATTCTCTTAGTTATACTACTTGAAACTATATGTCGACATTTGGTTGGCTTTTGTGGCCAAAAATTGACTTCATATGCACCTTTAAGATGTGAAATTATTCTATTAGAAAGTAGCAGAAGAATCTTCAGCAGCAACAAGGGGCAGGTGGAAAGGGAAAGGAAAGGGCAAAAGTTCAGCCAAAAATACAAAATCCAAGTCAGAACTTACCTTAACCCAAATGGTAGATAGCCACAATAAAGAAGAGGCTGATGATGATGATGATAAGGTATCTGCCTCTTAATATCAATAGATATGAATTCAGCTGAAGGATATACCCATGCTGCAATACAGTAGTCAATAGTCTCAATTCTCTATCTCTCTCTCTCTCTCTCTCTTGCACTCTAATAACATTTACCATTGGTATAATAGACTGAAGAAGACACAGATTCTGTGGAAGAAGAAGACAAGCAGCCCCCATCTTCAGATGCTTATTATGGTGTGCTACAGGAACCAGTGACAGTGCTCCACCCACTGCATGGCTGTAATGATCCCTATGGGCTGGTGAGAACTCTGAAGGATGTTCAACCAAGATATGTCATTCTGTATGATGCTGACATGGTTTTTGTAAGACAGCTGGAGGTAAGTCCTTAGTAGGAGACTTTTTTTTTGGGGGGGGGGGGGGTTGGAGATTCATATTTAATTTAGACATAAAAGAGATGACAGCTCGTTGGCAGATTGTAAATTATAAAGAGCATACGTGTAAGGAGTGAAGTTGTTCTGTTATTCAAAGGTGAAAATAGATAGAGCATGGCAATGACATGTCAAAAATGATAAACTTTACATGCCACTATTCATCAAAACTTATTAATCATTTCTAGCTATTTAAAGCTTCGAGGCCAGGTACACCATTGAGGGTATACTTCCTAGTGTATGCTGGCTCTGTGGAAGAACAGCGCTACCTCACCACTCTCAGGAAGGAGAAGGAAGCATTTGAACTCTTGATTAAAGAAAAGGCTGTAGGTCAAAATTTCATTTTCATGAATCAGTGGAGTTGTGGTTATTTGTTAAAGTTAACAAACTATTCTATTTTGGTCTATTTTATGTTCTAGAATTTCTGAATTTGTAACAAAATACTTTGTCCTATGCACAGTTTATTTATTTATTTATTTATTTATTTATTTATTTATTTATTTATTTATTTATTTATTTATTATTATTTTTTTTTTGGGGGGGGGGGTTGTATGGATAAGAATAAATAAATAGACATTTAATAAAAAAATTTTGCTCACTCTGCAGACAATGGTCATCCCTGAGGAGAGAGAAGGGAGGCTGCAGAATGATCCCAGTCTATCAAGGGATCCCAAGTCTACTAATGCAAGTAGTAGTACCAGGAAAGGAGGGGTGGAACCCGAGCCACCTGTACAACAAAAGGTCAGTCTACAGGAATTGCAAGGAACAATATAAGGAAATGGTTTACCCCTTTAAAAAGTCTACAAGTGTTTCACTTCGATGAACTGTGTCCTCTTTTCCTCCACCATATCTTTTGTGGTTTCAGATTATTGTAGACATGAGAGAATTTCGCAGTGAGCTTCCGTCTCTTATTCACAGGAGAGGTATTGATATTGAACCCGTCACCATTGAGGTAGGAGTTTATGTGTGGCTGCATGAATAGCTTATTTGTTATAAAATTGCTTATGTTCGGAATCAGTTAAATTAAATAATAATAAATAAATAAAATAAGATTTGGTACTGCTATAACACATTCCAATTTTCTTTTTATTTTTGAGTTAAAGTACCCGGTATAATGCTTACTCAGAACCCGAGTGCATCTTATTAATAAGCCACTTCATAGATGATAATGTTCAGACTTTTTGATAATTTGAAGTTTAATAATTCTTAGGTTGGGGATTACATCCTTACTCCAGACATTTGTGTTGAGCGCAAGAGTGTGAGTGACCTCATTGGCTCTTTGAACAATGGCCGCCTGTACAACCAGTGTGCTGCTATGAGTAGGTACTATAAGCGACCAGTGCTGCTGATAGAATTTGATGCTAGCAAGCCATTCACATTGCAGGTAGGACAATAGGGGAACATTAAGCTGACAATATTTTATCATACTTCAACTTTTCATTTTGTTAAAAAAAAAAGAAACGTATTCTAAACAACTATTATAAAAGATAAAGATTGTATCAGAGGTACTGTAACTTTAAGATTTTGTTTTTTCATGCAGACCTATATAGATTATGAATACTCGAGTAAAAATAAATACAAGAGAAAAAAGAATGTTGAAGAGCTCTGAATGGTGTTTTGTTAAGTTTAATCTTACTCACGTAATCCTATCTAGGGTAAAAGTCAGTACATGTCCAGTGATATCAGCAGTCAAGATGTGACCTCCAGGCTGGCCCTCCTCACCCTCCACTACCCACAGCTCAGGATACTCTGGTGCCAGAGCCCATATGCCACTGCTGAACTCTTTGAGGAACTTAAGGCAAGTGATGACAAAGACATATTTTATACCTACTTCATACCTACCATCAGTATATGTATAGAAGTAATGTTAATGACATTGGTGAGAGCCAATATTCACCAATTGATGGACTGAAGATGTCAGAAGTGTTAGTTAGTAACATGCAAGACAATTCAGAGCATACAAAGATGATAACAACATGAATATTTTAGGTGTAATAAATATGACATGTAAATTTATCTTTGTTTACTCAAAAGGTTGGCAGAGAGCAACCTGATGCTGCAGCAGCTATGACGGTCACAGCGGAGACAGAGCTGACAGAAATTCCAGAGAAGTACAACATGGGCCCACAGGTTAGCAGAAATAGCATTCTAAATTGGCATTTAAAACATATCTGAATCATTTTTATATTCACTATTAAATTCAGAATATTTTAAAATATATGTATAATACATTTTTTTTAGTTAGACATTTTCTTGCATTGATCACAAATTTTTCAAACTTTGTGAAATCATATTGCCTGAATAACCAATTTAGAAAAAATATCTTTCAGAATTTTCTACTGAAGCTCCCAGGAATCAGCACAAAGAATGTCTATGCTGTCATGAATGCTGTTCATGACTTGTCTGAACTTGTCTCTTTATCTGAAGAAAGGATTGCAGAGATACTGGAAAATAAGGCACATGCCAAAACTTTGTGGGATTTCTTACATTCTGAGCAAAAGCAAGTTGAATCCACAGCTGTTCAGAAACAGCCATTAAGTAAATTTGGAAAAGGATTCAAAAGAAAGCGGTAGCAAATCTTGTTTTGTATTATATTGTTATTTATTATTTTTATTACCTTATTCAAATTATGTGATAGTGGTGGTAATTTGGAAAAAAAAGCTGCACACTAGAGTTAAATCAGAAAAATGTAACAGTTTAACAACGTGAAGCTTTGTAATTCCATTGTGACCAATATTAAAACATCGAAATTTTGAAAATGTCTCTTGCTTTATTATTGACGATTTTTTTCAAAAGTAAGAAAACGACAATTTGATGTTCAAGTAAACTTTTTATATTTGCCAGCAGTTGTAAAATAACACAAAATAATTCAAATATGTTAAAAAGACAAGATTTTGTATAATTTTTGATGGATTTATTAAACATATAGAGAATAAACATAAACATCAATTTTAAGATCTTTCTAAACATATTTCTTTTTTCATGCAACACATTTAAATGCTGATAATTTCAATAACTTCAAGATATCTCACTAGACTTTGTTCAAAATAAAGGTTCAATCATCATGACTCATTGATGTAAGATTTTTTCCTGTCTTCAACATTAAATTTTTTGTCCACTGTCCTGAACACTTAGTAGTAGTAGATTTATACACAATTAAAGCATACAAATACATATGCTTCCTTGGTTCTCCAGCTTTCGCCGGCTTTCCCACCGTAAGTGAACACAAACTGCAATTAAGAGGTTCTAAGCTGGTAGTCTCCATTCTGTGTGATGTACCGTACCCATGGCAGAGCCTGGTAGCCACTCTTTTCTATGATCTTTAAGTAACGGACCTGAAATGTACAAGTCTCATCAATTATGTCAAAATAAAACGAGAAACTTCATGTTCTGCCATCTGTAAACATTACACAAAATATAAAATTATTACAAAAAAACCATTTCTGTGTTTGTATGATAATTTGATATTAATTGTAAAATCAAAATCACACAAGATTATTTTTTACAAACCTGTATGCCAGATACAGTAAAATAAGGGATTTCAAACTTCACACTGATTGGAGGTTTGCCCTCAGAATCTTCAGACTCCACACTGGGAAGGCCAAAATGTGCCCTCATCAAATACTCCTTTCCACCCTGAACAGTAAAAAATATAAGGATGCTGAGATACAAATCTATAAAATCTAATAAATTGTTCCATTTGTTTGATGTATATACATAGACATTTCAATGAAAAGAGAACAAGGAAGACGAGAAAAGCCTTAAATGCACTTTACTCTCTTATAATTAAAATAACCAATAATAATCTAAATGTGTACTGAAGTTTCAGTCTGAAACACACACACAAAAAAAGTAGACTTACAGGGAATGATTTAATAGTCCAAACTACTGAAGAAGTTTCTGGAACATATTTACAACTACCAGTGGTTGTCTTAAACTTTGGAGAGTCAGCATCTGCAGGAACTGGGATGATAATCTCCACATTGTTGGCTGTGGATCTCCTCTTGAACTGACTCTTGGCCTATGAAAGATATGGAACACCTGAGCATAACACTTCACAATCTCATATTCTTACAGGACACAACTGTTGATCTCACAATAAAGCTGCTACACTAATGCTTTTTGTTGCCTAGTGCATAATCAAATATCTGAAAGATTTCAACCTCAGCAAATCATGGTACAATTGCTACTTTAGAAAGCACTTCATGTCCACAAGCTTTT